AACGCGATTGCGTACAAAGTCCTTCCAGCGTGAAGGATGGCTTTGTATCCAAGTATAAACAATCGAAGAATCAGTCCATAGTAAGATAGGAGCTTCGTTGAATTTTAAACTTTGTACAACACGTGAAGTTAAGTTCGTTAACAACCATGCTCCTAATAATTCGAGCCGAGGAAATCAGAGTAGGCAGCAGCGAAGTTTGGATCAGTGGACAACCGTTTTTGCTGATGATACATTATATTCAGTGCCTTTATGCGGGAATTGCTCAACTCCGTTGGAGAACGTTTTAATGGAAGCCTAACAATGTATCGACCCTCCTTATCCCGTGCATGATTGCTTTTATAATGATTTTCACAGTTTTCTTCTTCCTTTGATAAACGAGATGGGGGAGTGAGATTAAGGTCCTCAACTTTCCAAAATTGTTGCAACAGCTCATACAAGTCGTTGTCAGAGGAAACACAATAGCTGTGTGACACGGCAGGGACAATGTGTTGGTTAGTGTTTCCGGATAAAATCCAACCGAGTTTGATTCGTTGAGCTATAGGTGAGGTCGAACTTCCTTTAATAAGGCCTTCTTCTATTATATGAGAGTAGAAGTCGACTCCAATGATTAGATCAATGGGTCCTGGCGTTGAGTAACCAGGATCGGCTAAGGTCAAGTCTTTCAAGTGTGGCCAATCCTGAGTGGGAAATTGAACTGATGGAAGAGAATTAGTTAATTTTACTAATATGTGCGCTGTTATGGAAAGTTCAATACTAGAGTTGAAGTGAGATTGTATTGTAAACGAAGTCGACCCTTTCGTTTTATTTGACCTTTTTCCACCAACTCCAACTAACGAAATAATAGAATGCTTCCTTGGTAGATGAAGTAGCTGAACAATTCGTTCAGAGATTAACGTAAGTTCTGAGCCTTGATCAATTAAAGCTCTTGCTTCTACAATTTGTCCCTTATCAGAGACAATTCGAACTTGAGCGGTCGCCAACAAAACATTTGAGGGGATAGAGCAATGATTTATAACTGCTTGAGGAAGGT